GATAGAATATTTCGGTAGAGTACTCGATTACTAAAATATTCTGCATAGCTGCAGATCTACCTGCAACATTAAATGAGACCATGAGGATCAAAATAAAAAATTAAAATAGCTAAGAAAAAGACAATGCAATAAAAAATGGGGGTTGAAAGCAGAAAACAGGATAGTAAATATAAAAAGATGATATTAATAATGATAAAATAGTATTACAAAACAATAATGATAATAATCGTAATGATAAAACAGTCTAACAAAAATGAGCAAGAAAAAAAACAATAAAAGGTCTAAAAGTTTAAATAAGAAAATATAAGTAAAACAAAAGCTAAAAAGACAGAGAGCTAAAATAAAATAGAGGTAAAAGAGATGAAAGTTCAAAGACAGGTGCAGAAAAGTCAAAGAAGACATTTAAAGAAAGTCTGTACCTGCTAGCTGGATCAATTCTTTGTCATTTTTGTACTTACTTGTTTTGTAGACAGAATGCAAAGTATGGAATATCAGCTGCTTCATCCACAAGTAAAACTAAAATGAAAGAAAGATGTAGAGTGAAGTAGAGGAGTGTGAAGCACCCCGGTGTAGACGAAATCATGAGTGAAGGTTCTGTCACTGTGAAAGGCCAACGGCAGTGAGATTTCAACTATTACATGTGAATTAAAATAACACTCACTGAATGTAACCGTGTGGGAGATGTACTCTGTCTTTCTCGTCGTGTTCTTCTCCATGAATGTTTCCTACATCAATGAACATATCTCTGTCCTCCCACTTCAGTAACTATCTGCCGGCTTGAGAATTCCAAGAGAGAAACTCTGATAGTTTTATCTTTGTGACTCACCTCTGTTGGATTCACGGCTGTGTGAGCAATTACTCCCATGTGGCTTCTCTATGATTAGATAGCCTGGTCTGTCTCATAATATTAGGAGAAGCGATGAGTGGGGTTTTAAAATGCAAATATTATGCACACACTGCCTGAGTGATCACTCCTCGCCACAAAAACAATTTTTTGAGTCAGAGCTGAAAAAAAAAAAAAGTCGGTAGTTTGACAAAGTTTCCTCTCTTGCAATTTGAAGTAAAAATGTAGCGTAAATGGGATTCTATGATTTCAACTCCTTTTGGTTCACTTATGGTTTTACAACTTGCACTTTCAAAGAGTGCTTTATAGTACTCCTTAAAAATAAACAAGTTATACATGACCTTTTCTCATAAGTTAGCAAAAGCATCCATTTAACACAAAGCTATTATTAAGACATCAGACTGTGATTGCTAACAGTCCTGCTCACTCAATTACAGCCTCACTTTTTCCTTGTGTATGGCTTGTGTAATGTATTAAACAATCCCGGTGTTTTTCGCATCAACATGAGCATTGAGCCTGTACGTTTATGCGTGTCCACTCCAACATTTAGTACATAAAATAATCAAAACTGGAACCATTAAAGAAACAGGCCCATAGCTTAGATTTAAATGGCAGAAAAAAGTTAGAAGACAGGTGAGCAATGACCATCCCACTTGTCTTGATTCATGTAAGCATTGTGGGCACACAAAGACCATCAAGGGAACCACAGAGTTTTAACTCTTTGGGTCTACATCTGGGGTGCAGGAAGTTCACATGCAGAGGATGGTGTGTTATAGGGCTGGGCGATAAACCGAAAATTTACTGATACTGAAATTTACGACAATAACCAACGTCATTTTGCCCATGTCAATATATTCAGTGTGATGTGCCTTTAAGGCGCTGTCCTACGTCAGAGAGGTGATTCCACTCCATCCAGTCCTTAACAAATAAGGAAAGACAGGTGAGGAGATGGAGGACGGTTGGAAAGTTGTAGCGGTGGCTGAAGTAGACGAAGTTAATGTGGGAGGGGGTGAGCAGCTTGTGGAGCAGTTATTGTCCATTTATCGTTATCAAGGTGAACTGCTCAATATATCGTGATATTGATTTGAGGCCATATCGTCCAGCCCTACTGGGTTATTGTTAATAATAGGTTTCTATCACAGGACTTGTGCAACAGAAAAACACAATCTTGCACATTGTCAGGAGATATTAATGAAGTGTTAGGACATCATGGATGTTTTTTTTGGAAGGTTTATGAAGCACCATGTCACTCCACCTGTGCGCTCCTCTTCCTCTTGTGTCTACTTCTCTGTGAAGGCATCAGAGTTGCTGTCAGGGGATATGATTTGAAAGCAGACAACAGACTCGATGATCTGAGTAATGGAATTGGCTTGATTGATAAAATTAACTGTATTTGTCTGGAAGAGTTTCTTCTGTGTTTCAAACATAATGTATATTTTGCAGCAGAAAAATATTCAAACATCCTGTGTCTCAGTTTTCTTTTTCTTAGTTGTTGTACTGACATCTTAATGACACGAAGCCACCTCTTCACCACTCAGACACTGGCAGAAGCCACTGATGAGGCGAAGCTTTGAGGTGTTAAGGTTGTCTTCATTAGCACCAGTCCTGCATGTCTGGACCCCCTGCCAGTACTTCCACCCCCTACTTCTTTCATAAATTACTATTACCTTGGTCCTAGGTTTGTCTACCATTGTAAGTGGTAGAAAAACATAGGGACAACATGTTCTAATTTTAACAACCAGAAGGTAAAGAAAAAAGTATTACCCCCCCAACATTAATCATGATGAGCTACCATAAAAAAACAGTAGTTGACTTTTTTTGATTATGTCTCTTCATTTTCTGCTTGATATTTTTTAACAAATCTTACACAATGACTTCTCACCTGCATGGCCTCTATAGCCAGAGTAATTGTTCACCAACATGAGGTGAATAAATAGCAGCACATTGTACCAAGTCAGAGGATCAACCCTCCTCATGGCAGCACTTCCTTCTCCATCATTAGACCAGCTGGCATGGTTTTCTAAGCATACCAAAATGGGCCCATAGTTCCTCATCAAGGCCTCTAACACATGCAGCAGTTACCTTTAGTAGTGCCTGGTCTCACAAATTAAAATCTCCATTGCCTTGCTGACCTCAAAAAGTTCCCAAGTGGTCAACAGAGCGGGTGTAATGCCTCTGGATGGCACATTGGGTTTGCTTAATGTCTTGCAGTTGAGGAACCTGCTTGGCACAGTCTGGAGCAGCTAGGTCTAGATGGTGAGCCACACACCAGGAAAACCATCATCAGATGCTTCTCCTGGTGTGTGGTCCTACTCCCCCACCCCACCTTTCGCAGGGAAGTCAGAAAAGCATCCAAATTTCTTGGCTTTGGGCATGCTTCAGGGCAAAAAACTGAATTATTTGGTTCACCTGATTTGCCATTCTGGAGGTAGGTCCTGTAGCTAAGCTCCTGGTCCTGCACTGACTGATCCAATGAAGAGTCAGATGTGACAGAAAAGAAACTGTCAGACTGCAGCTTTTCCTGAAGCTCCTCACTGAAGCATGAACCAATAGTTGTGGCAAACAATTGGCACGTTCAGTCATTGCTATGTGTTGTGTTTGCCGAGGTCCGTGCCTTTTGTGTGATGGAAAGCTATAGCTTGGCAAACACGGTGAAGGCTATCTTCTCTAAAGTGACTCAGTAGGCTATGCTGAAAAGTTAAACTTGTCTTTTATTGCAGCATCCATTCAGTCAAAAGCAGACATCAGTGCTCCTCTTTCTGAGTGATCTGGGTGCTTGTGTAGAAACTTCAGCTGTACTCTGTGCAGTCATGGCTGCATATTCTTTAATGCTTCACAGTCCTAGTTATTTCAGAGATACACCACAGAACAGGCTGTTCCCTGTTTTCTGAGCTTAACAGCGTCTACATGTTTTGCAGTACATAAATCATGCAGCTTTATCATATTAAACAGATGAATAGCTCTTTTTCCATTTGGGCAGATTTTTTTTTCGGTTTTGCTTCATTTGGGAGCTTTTTCATGTTTCATGGAGTAATGAGATATAATCCATGTGGTCAAAAATCTCACGGCCAAATTCCACAGGATACGTAATGGCTGTGCTCCACTTCGGAACAGAAGCCTGATCAAATACTCAAGCATTATAATCAATGTGCATGATTCCACACAATGTGCTTGCCGTCCAGCTCTGCTGCGAATCCACTCCGGCGGTCGGATCAGATATGCAAGGCTTCTAGTTTTGCCAGACGTTGCAGCACAACGCATCAATTCAGTGAAGTGCAAATCGAGCAGCAGTGGAAGTTGGAAGTTGGGCGGGGCCAGGATTGTGGGATGTGGGTGTTTATTTACACCGCTGATCTCATTCAATGTCCCACAGCGAAACACACGAGATCTTGGGAGATCTTGTCCAGTCTCGTGAGAAATATCAGTAATATCGCAAGGTCTTCTCCTCAGCTTGCGGCAGCAGATCGGATCCGGTGGGCACTGTATGCTTGCGTTTTTGTTCCGCCTGTCATTCCGGAGCGTAGCGTCGCGAAACTGCGTGCAGTAGGATCCCGGCGTCATTCATTCACATTTGAGAAAAATGTCACGAAAGACAAACATACATATGTACACGTGTGTCTCTATACACACATAGATGTGTATAAGATAGATGGTTCCTGCATTATTCACTGGGGCAGCATTCATATGGAAAGAGAGGATTATAATCTGACCTGTTTACTTTGCATCTCAGGTCTTTTTCTCCATGAGGGTTTTGGTTTACCACATAATGCCACTGTGCAGCTTATGGGTAAATAATCAAAGGTCTCTCCCTTACATAACTCACCTTAAAGTATGGACTCTGATCTGCTAGCACAAAGGCCATTATAATATGAATATAGCAACAGAGAAAAGACCGGGTCACAGAACATCAGATATCGGCCCAAACTTATATTCATTCTCAAATTCCTGAATTGAAGATATGCTGCATATTAAAGGTTCACCCCACTGAGGATAATTACCACCTAGGAATAATTTCTCAGTGTGTTATCTCCAATATGTGGATTAAATACGTTCCAAAAAAGGTCAAAGACTTCACATTTTACTCGGTATTGTGGTTCTTCCTTGTGCTTCTGCGAAATTCATTACATTTCTTAATGAAAGACAACTTAATCATGGGTATAAAACGCACTTTCACCACCATCGTTTATTGAGAAATTCAAACAAAGGCTTAAATAAAAGGTATTAGTTCCTTTGCCTATATTTCCTTATGATAACAGAAGTGTAGATTTGGAGGTTAAAATAAAGACACGGGAAAAATAGACAGACTGTTGGAACATCAATAAGTTGCAGCAGAAGAGAAAAGAAGGTGATACAATTCAATATCAATGGTGTTGTCTGGCAAAGTTGTCACAAACAAAGACAAACTTTATAACTCTTATATCTCCTACAGTATGAAAAAATATGCCGTCCCAGGATGACAAGTCCACATTTTATTCTTAGTCCTCATCGAGGATAAAAAGATGAGGTGGGAGGTGAGGAGCGAACACAGCCATGACAAGTTGTTTTTATATAGGTAATATTCTTGCAGGACAAAGTCATAATCCTTGAGATTGCTGTCTTGGTTGATTTGGTGACAATCAAAGTTGCTGGTCTTGTAGAATAGGATTGGTTACTATCGCCCTGATGCAAGCAACATTCACAGAGCAGCTCTCCTGGGGAAATACAACAGAGACACATGAGCATCTGTTCTCAGTCAGTCAAACTTTTTTGTAGGAAAAAACTTCAACACGAAAAAAAATAAACAAGACTATGTTATGCAGGTAAGGAATACAGCGGTAAGAGTCAGTAACAATATTTGAGTTCCCCACATTGACAGTGAAGAATGGGTACAAACACAGATATTAACACTTGATCATGAAGCAACACCAGCATCTCTTACTGTGTAAATGTCAAAGATTATTATCTTTACAGGTTTGGTTGCCTCATCCTCCAAACAATGCAGCTGTCAATATGTGTTTTTGTGTAAGAGTATGTGCCATCAAAAGACACAAGTTGTTGCACAAACCTATAATATGCTGACATCAACAAAAACACAGCTTCTGCAGTGTTATGAAATAAGCCTCAAGTCCCCAAAGAATCAGCTCAGCCTCTGACAGAGCTGCAGTCAACTTCAGTTTTATCAAGTTCACATCCAGTTCATGATGGGGGCTGAAAGACTGATGGGCAAGATATATGGTTTGGTCTAAAAGCTAAAATGGTTCATCATACTGTACATGCCAGTTCTAGCTCCATGATTATGAATAACATCAAATATATCAAGATAGCAACCAAAAGTGTGATATGTTTTCCTAAATTTTTATAGCAGGAGTTCATAATCTTATGTAAAAAATGTGTAAAATCTTTAACTTTAAAACAGGGATCTAAATGTCATTGATCACCCACTTTCAAAAACTTTTTTATAAGTTTCCTCTTCCTTCCCTTCCTTTCCTACCTCTCTTCTCCTTTTTCTGGCTTTGAAGCACTTAGCTGTATCATTATCTGCCATCTCTAATAGCAGCCAGCATATCTGGAAGCTGAAGCAATTCAAACTTTCTATAAAGTGTTTACGTTTTCGGCTTTAAGCTGTCACTCTAATCCTGAGCGACTCGAGCTGAATATAGCAGTGGGAATAAATTATCTCGGATCAACAACACCGGAGACATCCAATACTGGTTAGACAGTTATCTTTCAGAAATAAAAAGTTATAGTGCAAAAGGAGAAAGACTTTTTTTTAACAAAAAGGGAAAAACAGGTAGATAAGGGGGAGAGATGTGGAATCAAAGGCTGTAGATGTCTGTCTTGATGATACGAGTTTCTACCCTGAAACCTTTTATTGCACACCTGCTGGAGCACTTCAGATTCTCCAAAATGAGGGAGTTTTGAGGGGAATAAACTGAAAATGACCTTATCTAAAAGTTGACAAATTTTGAACCTACGCATCTTAAATTGTTTATAAAACAAAGGACACACTTCTGGATGTTTTTATGACACTAATAATATCACAGCGCAACACTGTAGAGGTCTAGCTTGTGGAAACTACAGAGGACAGGAGGTCACAAAAGTAAGACTAGTTTTTTGTGCTCTCACACCTCAGCTTTTAGGGCCTGCCTCTGCTAAACTGATGTAAACCTGTCCCCAAAGCACAAGGTGGAAGAAACCATAGAAGTACAAAACCAATGAGTTTAATCCATGCTTTGATCAAAAATATTCAAATATCTGAGAACAAAAAATGCATTAAATTCATGCAAACTTTAATTCAGGAAACCTTTGTTACCTGTTATTCTTCTGATCTGAGAGGATCTGATAAATCTGAATATGAAATCTACTTTGCTGTTGTATTTTTTAGAACAAAGAAAAGTTTTTTACATGTTTTATGATTTTCCACTTGGTTGCTGTTTGTTATTTTCAGCAATCACTGCAGAACTTGCCATTTGATGGGGAAAAACTTCATAGTTATGCCCTCTGTAGAGTGGCAAAGAATCTGCATGTTAACTGAGTCCCCCTTCATGCAGAAAATATATGAAATATAGCTTTAAAATGCAGTTGTGTTTGACACTGAATAAAACAAAAACACTAAATGTATACTTTAAGCTACAGTTGATCAACAAAAGACTGATTTAATCTTCCCTGCTTTTAGTTCTTTGTGTAAAAAAATATACATGTTTCAACAACCTAATAATCACAAATGTAGGCCCATATAGGGCTGGGCGATAAAGCCTCAAATCAATATCACAATATATTGAGCAGTTCACCTTGATAACGTTAAATGGAAGATAACTACTCCACAAGTTGCTCATCCCCCTCCCACATTAAATTTGTCTACTCCAGCCACCGCTACAACTTTTGAACTGTCCTCCATCTCCTCACCTGTCTTTCCCTCTTTGTTACGGACTGGATGGGGTGGAGTCACATCTCTGATGTAGGACAGCGTCTTAAAGAAACATGAGACCATAGCCTACCTACACACATCCTAAACCAACTTTTATTTGTTTTTTGACACCAAATATACCAATATGGGCAAAATTATGTCAGCTATTGTCGTAAATTTCAGTATCGGTAAATTATCGCCCAGCCTTAGCTCATTCTCTTTTTTGTCCTCAGCCAAATAACCATAGATACCATATACTATATCCCTAGATACAATGCAAAATTTAACATATAAATAATAATTAGTATTTGTTAGGCTGTGTATTGTTTCAAGCAGGTGACATTAAATTACTTTTCAACAACAATAATGAATAGAAACTAAACAAAAGGGGAAGTTCGGGAAGTCTAGAGTAATTGTTTCAGGTAAAAGTCTCTTTCCTTTTATCATGGTCTTCTTGGACACGCTCTCAGCCATGCATTAGTCATATTCGACTCATAAATGTGTTGTGGGGCACAGCTGCAGAGAAAGTTATCTTAATTAATGCTCAGCCATGGCCACCATCATCATTATTGAGAGTGAGGGGAGCTAATTGGCATAATCTGTCTCTGCTCTCTGGATAAGACTGCAGCAGAATCAGCTGCATCATGGGATGAGGAAATCTGGGGAAGTGAGGTAAGAAGTTTAAATGAGGTACCTCTGTCGACCAAAATGGCATTTCTTTTTCTGTCTTAAGTTCTGTCATATATTTCTGTTTGTAGGTGTGAATGCATCTATCTTGTAGCTGTGTGTGTTTGTTGATGGATTAAAGGGAAAACGTTGCTTTTCAGGCCATCGGAGCACTCTGACAGTGGTCAAAGTGGGGCAGGCAAAGCAGAGCAGGGCAGTACTCATGAAGGATATGAACTCCTGAACCCCAGACCCAGAAACATCAGAGGACTAGGAGGAGGAGTGTGTCCTTGAAATGGCTTTGCCGAGCTAGCTGCACAGTATGACATCTACACACCCAAGTTTCCTTCTCCATGACGTTATATTTATCCATCTCTCCTCTCGTATCTGTCTCCAATAGCTGCCCTTCACTCTCTCCATCATCTTTTGCTCTGTTATTTAAAACCATCCATCAAGTAACTTCAGCCGACCTCTACCAACTGCTCACTAACAGGCGTATCTTCTGATTTGCTCCGGGGTTCATGCCACTATTGATTTGTGTATTTTGTGTGTGAGGATACTGATCACCTCCCGTCTCCTCGAAAAATATAGCAAAACACACTTAACCCAAACTCAAACTGAAAAAACATGACTCACACAAACAAGCACAGATTGGGACCCAGGCATTCATGTAGCCCTGCATGGGCAAGTACACAAGCACAGATGAGTCGAGGTGCATCATTTTGAAACAGCATTTGAATACCTTTCCATCAACTCACACAGAGATGCACACACTTACACAAAGACACTCATGTTTTCTAAAAGGCAGATGAACCCAGCCTTTCTCTCAGCAGTCCATCATTTCATTGATCTGAAGAAGCAGAGCAGAAAAAAATTGGCGGGTAAATGCTAAGGTGTGGCTGCTCTCTGCTCAAACTACTATTTTTACTTTGCAACAAACCTTGTGTCAGTACACCATATTTTTAAATAGAGATGCAGGTTCAAACATGTTAAAAAGCACAAGAACTTTGATTACCAGCTGCAACTCACCTACTGCTAAACCTAGGGCTGGGCCATAAATCGAAACTTTGCTAATACCGAAATTTATGACTATATCCGACATCATTTTGCCCATGTCAGTGTATTCTGTGTCAAAAAAATTTATAAACAAAAGTTGATTTTGGATGTGTGTAGGTAGGCTATAGTCTCATGTCCCTTTAAGACGCCATCCTACGTCAGAGATGTGACTCCACCCCATCCAGTCCGTAACAAAGAGGAAAGACAGGTGAGGAGATGGAGGACGGTTCAAAAGTTGTAGCGGCTGAAGTAGATGAAGTTAATATGGGAGGGGGTAAGCAGCTTGCGGAGTAGTTATTGACTATTTTTCGTTATCAAGGTGAACAATATATGGTGATGTTGATTTGAGGCCATATCGCCCAGCCCCATCCTGTGTTTTAGAAACATTCACAAGAGCTTGGAGACAGGTGGGCGTACAACCCAAAACACATTGCCTCAAGGTCACAGTAGACACTGCCATTGAGAGGAACTTGGTAAATTGTCAAAGTCTTGTTAATTCTAAAACATGCAAAGATTGGACTGTCAGCTCAGAAAGGCTTTGTACCTCAGGTACTTCGTGGTGCACTGATGACATGTGAAACATGCTCTCTGCTGTCTTATAAATGATTTCATTTCAGCACTGAGGCAAAACTCTGCACAGTATCATCAGATTTATTCAGTATTGGATCAATGTAGAATTGCATCAACTCAGTTCAGTTAAATCATCTACACAGGTTTTTGCACCAAAACACTCAACAAATCTCCAGATGACTCCAACAAAACAAGCAGATCTGAGGAAACTCAAACAACTTAGACATCACTGAAATAATCAGCTTTACTTGTACTGACTGAGACATAAATTGCATTGCAGTGTCCCTCTACTCCTAATAAAGACACAATGGATCAATAATGCACTTTCAAAATGCAAAGGACTATTTGTCAGACAGCTGTTCATCCATCTCACACAGAGTTTCAGACCATTTGGAGTCGATAGGTAGAAACAAAAATGTAGGTTACATTATGTATCTCACGCAGAGATCATAATTTTTCAATATCATTGGAAAATGTTGTCGTCATTTTAGACTGTTAAATATTTATTCTATTTTATACCAGAGTACTCGGAAATTTAGTATGTTACGCCTCAAATTTCCTGCAGAAGATCCCCAGACACCCTTCTCACCATTTGTACCTTACCACATCTTAACAAACCTTACACTGTGAAACACTTTTACTCTGGGCTATATGTTAGCTATATCTACAGAGATGGAAAACAGTCATTGCATGTCACTGATTTTAAAAGTAGGGAATTTATGAGAACATACACTTCCACACAAAAATAATAATATATAATAAACTTTAATCGTGGAGAACTTTTTAAAAGTGCTTTAGAAGACAGGAAAAATAGATGTTATTTGTCCTCAATCAGTAAGCATTGTCTGACTGATTGATCTGATTTCCTTTGACCTTAAAGGCATTACTCTCCATCTCCTCACCTTTACAACATCTGAAGCTCTGCTGCACCTGTTGGGAGCCGGCTAGGTCTGTCCTACATCAAAGCTGTACTGTCTATCTTTATATAGATACACTTTCCTCTACACACGACAAGGCCATGAAATATGACACACACACACACATTTACGTATTTACAGATATATGGGATACGACACGAGAATTTTATGCATAAAAATTGTTCCGACAGTAGCAGACTGCTGGTCCTCACTATAGCTGCTGAGATGTGAGGTAAGGGTGACATTTTCTGTCTCGCCTCACTGTATGAAAATGACAGTCCATGTCAGTCAGGCGCAGAGTTTGAGAGATAGAGTGAAGGGGGGGAGGTCGGGAATACAGTGAGGGAGAGGAGGAGGACTGTCACACTGGTCAGTGCGTTTTAATGTCAATTAAAAAGCAGCGCCATGAAAGGAAACTCTCCATAAAGCCAGGGAGCTGTGACGGAGTGACTAATAGCAAGGACAGAGTAACGCCTCCCCTTCTTCTCTCTTTGCTCCTTCCTGCGTTAATGCCCTCCTTCTCCTTTGGTCATTTTCCCTCCAGCTCCCTCTCATTCTGTCTCCCATTTCCTCCTCATGTAACCCCAGATTTCTTTCCCTCTGCAACTCCTCTTGACCCTTTTGTTCCCTCTAATTTCTGTCCCCACCCCCAAGGCCAAAGGAGCAAAGAACATGGATATGGATGTGGTCTTCATATGAGTCATGTTAATGGCTGTCACTCCTCTTGACCCCCTCATCTCACCTTTCAGGTCCATTGAGTAGAGCCAAATGCCAACTTTAATTTGCATGGAGCCCATTAGCTTCACTTCAGTGACTCAAAAATGGTAGAAATGCTCAGATTCCTCTTATTACACAGAGAGAAGAAGGGAATTTGTTTCTGACACTTCTAAGAATAAATGAACTCCTAGTCTTGAGCGGGAGGTGAAAAACCTCAGCTGTCAGGCCTGAGTACATTAATAAACACTTTCTTTTGCAATTTAAAGTATACAACTCTATAATGATACAATCTACTGATTTAATCTGCCTTTAACTTACCCACTGCAAAGAGTACTTCATGTGCATTTACATCCGTCACTGTAGTGCTGGTTATTTAGATATATATATATATATATATATATTTAATAATTAATAACATGAGTTTTGTGAGGTGGCCCTAAGGTGCAAAACAAAACGGCAAATCGGAAAACACATAAAAACATAAAATACAATGAGATTAGCCATTGTGTTCTCTCTTTTTTGTTTTATTTTATTTGTTATTGTGTTTCCTGATTTGCTGTTGTGTTTCCTGATTTGCTGTTGTTTTCCCTTTTTGTGTTGTGTTTTCTGTTTGCTGTCATGTTTTCTGATATGCCGTTTTTTGTGTTGTGTTTTCTGATTTGTCGTTATGTTTTGCACCTTAGAGCCGCCATACTTTTGTGGTTACTTGCTCTCATGCAACAACAACAGTGTGGTGCTTTATATTTACACATTCTACTTTATGTCATACTTTATATTTACACCTTCTACCTTGTTCAAGTATTTCAACTCAAGCTCTGCTGGCCAAGGGTTTGGTTTTAGGTCTGTTGTTGACTGTGCAGTAGTTTAAGTTCAAAAGCAGGACGTTTAGTGGGTTACTGGATGACACTTTCATAAAATTTGTACAAGAATGGAAAGTCACATTCTTGTTTTTCACCACACATTCTAGAGCACTTCCTAAAACCTACATGCATCAAGGTACGCAAGACGTATAAAGCACAGCAGATCACAAGCATGTGTAGTTATATAAACAGGAATGAGTGGAACATGAGCAGGCTCTGAATCTATAAGAAAAGAACAGCTTGAGCCGCACAGAGTACCCAACTCCACTGTGCAGAAAAGAACAACACTAGGATTTATGTTGATAATTTTTGCATTTAAAATATGATTCATTTTCCTGTGTAGTCATGGAAAAGGGCAAACAAGTGTTATTATCTTTCAAAAGCAGAGCCGGGAACCACCTGGAGTGACAACTGTGAGAAATACGGGCTTACAGCCAGAACCACAGAAGGAGATGATGGAGCAACTGAGTTTGTGCATTCGAAGGCTGATACTTCAGAGGGCTCTTTGAGTCAGGTTGTAGTTCGTAGGACAGTGATGTTTAAGTGCAGAACAAGAGCGAGTACTTGTGTCTTTTGTTTGTGAGTAATTTTTTTAACCCTGCTCTGTGGGCATCAGGCTGCAGGCTGTGGTGTTTTAGAGTGTTTCTGAAGCAGTCCATCATGAGTGGGCAGAAACATATGTTCTCAGAGTGGTAAAAACCAATTATTGTGGTCTACAAGTGACATGAAACAGCCAGATTGACAAAGTTAAATAAAAGCAGTATTTGTAGTGTTAAAATAGCATTGATGTGTTCAGGTTTCTAAACTGGATTATGCTTTGCAGATTAGATTGCCATAAACATTTTCTCCCATGGCCTCAGTTTGAATCCAGCTGCAAGCATGAAAGACACCTGTATTCAAAGGACTGTGTAAGCACATCAAAATGTTCACCGGAGAAAAAAAATGATCACCGATTTGTGTGTTTACAACATCACACACCGGTAAAAGACTCAGCCTTGACCAGATCAAACTAAAGCATTATCTCATCCAGGAATGTCCATTTGTCACAGATGTGTCAGATAATCTGAGCAACACAAACACAGAACACAAGGTTCCTGCATTATTTCCAGCAGATGCCAAGAAACAACTCTGGCCACTTCAGAAGGCATGGCAGAAAAATAAAGAGACACAATCTTAGAGAGATAATCAGCAAAAGAGCCTGCAGTGTTTCACAACCTCAAACAAACACAGACGCACAAGTGGTGATCTCAGAGCTGGGGTTGTATCACACCGCGGCTGAACCCATTTTATGCCTTTATCGCCCTTGGTGCAAGAAGAGATATGAAAACAGGTCAGCGTGGAAAGAGCTCTACCAGCATTGCCCCCTGCCTTAAAGCAAGAGAGCACAGAGAATGAAAAGATGATTAGTTTCTCTGGAAAGTCTTAAGATAGTTCTATCTGGTGCTCAGGTAAATATTAGATTACTACTGAGGTTTCTCAGCGGGATGTGTGAATTTTATACACTTTAGGAAAAAAGCTGAAGTTAGCAGAAAAAACAGTGAATTCATCCTAGTGTGACTCAGGCAGAGAAGATAAAGATAGCCTGTTTTTATTCAGCTTATAGATAGGGATGCACTAAACCACCGTTTTGGCAAGTTTTTAATATTGAGTTTCTATCAATATTAGAGGTGGGTGCAATTCATCGATGTGGCGATGAATCACAATGCTTTACGTGATGATTCAGCATTAATTCATTAACATCAATGCTTTAAAAAAATAAATAAATGATAACGTTGATGCTTCGCCGCAAGGCCTGAACAAAAAAACACCTAACCGGAATCTTGACGTGCATGCCGCCCAGACTGTTTAGTGAGGGGAACCACATCAAACAGAGCACGTTAGTTTCTTTGCAAAATGGCCAAAGCTTCAGCAGCCTCCAAAGAGCGTCCGATTCTCTCGCCACCAGGGTTGACTGCAACCGTGTGGAAGTACTCTAAATTTTATGAGACAGCAAACAAGACGACAGACAGGACCTACGTGATTTGCAAGAGTACCTCAGCAGCACCACAAACACGAGGCAGCACCTTGTACTCTTTCATCCCGAAACAGAGAAGGCTCCTCCGGTCGTGTCCGTCACACAGAGGACCATCCTGGAGACTGTCTACAAACTCCCCAGTTTAAGTCAAGTAAGTCAAAGTGCAAATGTTTACATAACAGTCATACAGTCATAAAATAAAAGACTTTGTGTCTTTGAAAAATACAAGTCAAATGTTCAAAAAACCTTATTTACTTATTGAGTGTAGTTTTAGGGGAACTAAGTTAATAAATAGTTTATTTTTTACAAATGTAGCCACAGATGAATCAATCTTGTTTGGAACACCCCTACAGAACATCCCAAAGATCAAGCATTTCAACTTTATCAATACACGCCTCTGAATTGCAACTGTTGAAAACTATTAGTGTCAATAATCTGTTGAAAATGAAGATGAAGACAGGCTGCTAAAATCCTGTCTTGTCATTCCAGCTATAAATGATCCAGACTGACTCCACTCCCATGAATATTATAGCATGCACTATACGGCAAGGCCCACAACAAAGCCTCTCATACATCACAGGAGACAACCAGAGGAGAGCTCTGATGTACTGCTTTGTTGTCTCAGTGCAGAGCAGTTCACTTGTCAAACACATCATAAACTCCACCACAAGTTTTGATGTAATCCAGTTTGAAGTCTGCCCTCCACACCCTGGGACAACTAATGGGACCCAATGGGATAGGGTATCATTTGTATGGCCACTGCATTTTGGGGTTTGGTTGAATGTCACATGTTGACATTTTCTTGAATGATGGGTTACTTTCCACACAGCAATATTCTCTTTGTCACCAGATGGTTAGTCAGTATGGACAGCTAATAGATGCCCCAGTGGAACAATCAGTCACTTGGCAGCAAACATCACCAGCTTTCAATCACTTCCATATGTAGTGAAAGGAAGAGTGTAAAGAGAGCTGCCAATGACCAAATAGGAGATGATTTATCTGAGATTGGGCCTCCTACTCTGTCTGTTGCAGCACACATCACAACAAAGCTTTATTGTTCCATCCTCTGTTTACAGCATAATTATCAGAAGATTTATGCCAGCTCTGTCCCTCAGCTTTGCCTTGAGTGCAGACTTTCCACACAGTTGGGTGTCCTTGTAGAAGTGCCTGCTGCCCGCACACCTGGCACAGCAGGGGAAACAGCTGAGGACAGCATATGCAGCCGTTACTGGACAGCTTCGGCAAATGTCTGTCTTGGGATGGGCAGTAAAACAGTGAAGTTATCCACTTACACACTGTTTTACTCAGTTTTCGCAAACTGCCTACTTACACACTGAGATAGTTTGTGGTGAAAGAAAAAGACAGCGTATTTCATATTCACACATTCTCAAACGATAAGCAGATAATGTGCACACGCCTGCATCCAAGACTGGCACAGCTATTTAGGAGCACTTGTTTTTCTGGGATTTTGCCGAGCCCTACTCCAACATGTGTATTTCTAACCACAGATAGGGTGTGTCGACTAGATCCCATCCACAATTTAAATCAAAAGAGAAAAAGACTGCAAATGTACATTAAAAAGGCCAAAGGATCTTGCTCACACATAAATCTTCATACACCTACCATCAAAAACACTCGTCCCTCGAATTTGTAACTGCAAGCAAGGGATGCAAAGAGTTGCTATTTAGTTGGTGCTAAGACTGCACATAAAAGCTTACAGATCACTCTGTTCACTAATTTTATCTGAATTTAGTCTAAAGCCCACAGGATCTGTGTTGAGTGTGTCTCTTTTTGCTCAAAAGGTCTAGAAAAAAGCAACCTCTTCTCATTATTTTTTCTCATCACTCCTTTTTTCAGTACTCTCTTACTGTCTCTGTAACATTTAGGTCAATAATGGGGTTTCACACCCAATGACCAGGACAAAAACATCCAGATAAGTTTACAAAAACAAAAAGAATGAAAAAAGGAAACAGTGACACAATGAGGGGACTGAAGTTTGAGCTTTAAATGTTGTCTTTACATCCCACTTAGCATAGATTTCCACTGAGTGTCACGTCAACACTTGGACCTAAGCTATGTGTTCTTCTCTGGGGAATTTGCCTTCACGATAGACGTTAGGAATATGAGAATTTCCTTCAACTGTGAAAGTGTGGTGAAGGAAATAGCAAAGTACCATCAGCTATGCCATATCGCAGCCACCTGGGCCACTTAATTGCCACATTCAGCCCACAAATACATGCGATCTGTCCTCAACAAGAGAAAAAGCCTCTTTCATAAGCTGCGTTGTGGGTCTGACCTTTCCCACTATGCAGGATGTGCAAATTATTCTTTATTTTTCAAATCTTCCTGTGATTTTTTTTTTATTTCTTTTCCTCCACCCTCTAGAAAAGAAAATGTGCAGCTATACACCAAAGCCCAGTCAATTCCACTGTGGTTTAGTCATATATCATATTCTGAGTGTATGGATTTCTAATATCTCGCTACAGCAGCCAAGATGATGTAACAGATATGGCCTCTGAGCGCACATCAAATAGATTCCTAGAGGATATTCAATACAGCTACCAATAGACATTTGGTCACATTATTAAAATAGATAACCTTGTAAAACTTGAATAATGCTCTGAAATATTAAAAGTACTGCTGGGGGTAATTAGGGATGGAATGGCATCCATTACTGACCACTTGAAAAAGAAAGGAAGGGGAAAAAGGTGTTCTTGATCTTTAATAGTATGTTCCCACTGCTGCCATTTTGCAACCCCGGCTGAATTGAACACTGAGCTCACAGACGGCTAGAATAGAGATTCCTCAGAACTCAGATGGGGTGTGTGAGTAACACAGCAGTAGTATTATTGCAGCATAAAAATAACCCCTGGCGAGAAATCCTTTGTTCTTGATCTGATTTGCAGCAACTGATCCGACTGCTCAGATCAAAACAACTTCAGAGTAAAAAAATGTCACAAGTAGGGATGGGGGACATGGGGGAAATATTAAAATTCCTATCGCTGTATTTGACTCATGTTTTGAGAACCCCACAATCATTGTTCTTGGATGGCACTTACCAGTTGGCATAGTCAATTAAGATACTTAACTACAAGTTTAAGTGGTAGGTTATAGAGAAAACTAGTGACATCAAACAAGTCTGAAATGTGAGAACACTTTTAACATTAAACACTTAAAGTGGACATTGCACTTTTTTTGGTACAATTTGTATTCTACGACAGCAACTTCAAAAATGTAGCAACAAAAAATATGATGATGCTTGTTTAATGCCTGATGCATCAAGAGTAGGGCTGAAACGATTACTCGAGTAACTCGATTAATAAAATTCCTCGAGGCAAATTATATGCCTCGAGGAATCGTTTAAATCCGGAACCATGTGCAGCGCACGGTGTTTGACACGGACGGTTATTTCTGTTGCGCAGCAGCATGCTCTTTCCGCTCCTTCCGCTGCCGCGCGTTTGGTTCAATCATGGAGGGAAACGAGGACAGACAGAGAGAGGAAGAAAGAGATGACACGCAGAGGAAACGGCAGAAAGTGTCTAAAGTGTGGGACCATTACACACTGAAAAGGAAAGAAAACGCCGTGCAGTGCGTTCACTGTAAGGCGGAGTTGGCGTTTCACAACAGCACGTCGTCAATGCTGCAGCACCTTAAAAGAAAACACCCGGTCCATGCATTAAGTCCGCAGAGCGGACTGGCCACAACAAGGTAATGTTCACGATACTAAGCAGTTGCAGTTAAAACAAATCAATGTGATCAATAATCAAGATTAAGTCCAGTACATAATGTAATTTAATTTATGGCGCTGGCTAAAGGCTGCTTCACAGTGTAAATAAAAATGTAACACTTTTATATATTGAATAAATATACATTTGCTTGTCAAATTATGTTAGTATCCAAGAATTATATTATTTCAGCCTATTAATTAAACAAGTAAAATTAGATCCAAAGCCTGGAAATAAACATTATGACAGCAGTAAAGGCATAAATACAGTAAAGAGAGATAACTATGAATACAAATACTACTACTTCTACTACTACTATTAGTAATAATAATAATAATAATAATAATAATAATAATATAAAAATAACCAAAACTAAAGGCTTGCTAAAAAAAAAAAACTAGATATGACTCTGATAAAAAGAGAACTGCAAGAACAATATAAACAGAACTAACTAAAAGTTAAAAAAATATTTCCACCATCAAATAAATGTGCATGGGCTAGTTGAATTATCTTAGTATATAAGTGTATATATATTTTTTAGAAATTAAACAAGATGAATTAGATCTGCAGTATGGAAATTAGCGTTTTCTTAGCAGCAAAGGCTGTGAATAGACATAAGAATGAACTCAATTAATATGAATACAATTAATACAAAAATAACCAAACTAAAAAAAACTTACTAAAAAGCAAGATATGGCCCAGAGAAAACAAAGAGAACTTAAGAAACAATATAAATAGAACAAACCTATAAAGTTCAAAACTATTTACACTATTGGATTAATGTGCATTAACTAGCTGACTTATTGTAGTATCTGAGTATGATATTATTTTTTTTAGTAATTTCGCAAGATAAGTAAAAGCCAAATAAAATAACCAAACTCAAAACTTTACTAAAAAAACAAGATAATGATCCAGAGAAAAAATAGAACTTCATAAACAATATAAACAGAACAAACTAAAAAAAAGTTATAAAATGTTTACACCATTAGACATATGTTAATATCAATATCAATTGGACTCTTTTTCAGTTCTTCAAAGAACCAAACTCTGGACAGCTTTGTGCGGCGACCTCCACCGTGTTCAACTGAGCAAGCAGCTGAGTTCACCGACAGTATTCTAAACATGATTGTCTCAGACATGCGCCCGCTTTCCATGGTGGAGGATGAGGGATTTCAGAAGATTCAATCCCAAGTACACACTTCCCTCAAGAACCTACTTTACAAAATTGATGGAGAAGAAGTATGAAGAAATCAAAGCCAAGTTGACGAACATTCTTAAAAAGTGTGACAGCATTGCTCTCACAGCTGACATTTGGACCAGTGTTGCTACAGAGGCTTATCTAGGGGTGACGGGTCACTTTCTTGGAGAGGATTGGGAAGTGAAGTCCCATAGCCTGACAACAATGCATCTGGAAGAGAGACACACAGCTGCAAATATTGCAGAGTGGCTTGAGGACGTCATTGCCAAATTTGACATTCCACCGAAGAAGATCAAAGCTGTTGTCCATGACAACGGTGCCAACATTGTCGCAGCGGTTAAGATTTTGACCGAAAAGCATGGATGGGCATCAGTGCGATGTGCAGGTCACACTATAAACTTGGTGGTGCAAAGTGCTCTGAAAAACAATCCAGCAATCTCCAAGTGCGTTTTTTAGTGAAAACTGCAAAGATCATTACCATAGCAATTAAAAGACCATCTGCAGACCTTGCCTTCAGTAGTTTCATGTGAACTACATGGTAAAATGTAAAACTTTTGGTTCCTGATTTATGCAGTAAAAATATTCATTTGAAAGACCTGGCCTATTTCAGTTTTGTGTGTTACTGATGGTTTTTAATGAGGCAAACGTGATTCAATGCAAAGTATTACAGTGAGAGCAAAACATTTCTTATCCGATTACTCGATTAATCGACAGATTAATCGATAGAGTACTCGATTACTAAAATAATCGATAGCTGCAGCCCTAATCAAGAGCAGACCTTGACAAAAGGCTTTTCTAGAATTTCAGTGAGCTAAAGACAAAAAGACAGATTGTACTGGTATGGCAGGACACTCAGTTTGAGAGATGTTACACAATATAAGGTTCATGAGACTGGGGAAAATTTCAATGATGAAACACATGACAGGAAAAACTGTCTATGAATGTTACCCATACTCATAGGAATAATTCTCCTGAGGTTGCATGAGCATTTAGAAATCAGCATATGACATCTAGCAATGTTCATTGCCACCCTTACCACCCTTAGGCTACTAATTGTTTTACCTCTCTCCTGCTATACCCTCACAGAATCCGAACCATCAGAAAGCAGCTAGGGTATTGACAGGGTATTGTATGATTGTGTTCTCCTGAACAGTTGCTGTAGCTCAATCTGACTGTTAAGGATAAGCTAAAGCATTGGAAATGAGGGCCTGTGGGGAGCACAAGCAATCATAGGGGAAATGATCAGAATCAGAATAATGAGCACTAGCTTAAATCCAGATTCGTTATTGTGGTCCGTGGCACAGTAGGACTCATGGGTTTATGGGACAATGCGCTAATGAGGCATAAGAAAAGGAAATACTTGGCTTGGCTGTGTCAGTGGCAGAGCACTGGAGGTTGGGTTTGCCCTGTGGAGGTATGCTGGAAAGTATCGATCAAGTCACCTTTAATTGACCGATCGCTAAGTCCCACCCCTTGAACACAGATGGGCCAATGGCAGTTTGGTATCAGTTACACTGGGACTGGAACTCCGACATCTGTAGCTTTCAGCTCCATAGAGAAGCATTAGTAGTTGTTATTTTTCATCTGTTTTATGGCGTTAATTTTAATATAACAGAAAGAAGCATGGTAAAAAGGTGTGCATGGGGTAGATGTAATACCAACACAAGGTATCCCGACAGGACGGGCAGTGTGGTGTTTTTCATTCCACTTCCAAAACCAAAGAAAGACCGAAGTAAATGTCTGCTTTGGATTAAGTTGTGTGACAGACCACTCAGCCAACTTAACGTCCGGAAGATCAACAAGGATGTCTACGTTTTCACCTCAAGTAAACTAGCTAATTCTAATGTTAGCCCAGGTTACCACACTGGCTGAGTGACTGAGAATTTGGCGGCACTGAGTGTTACAATCTTCTGATATGTTAGAAAAAAAGTTCTTTTCAGATTCATCAACCATTTGCTTCTCTTTCCTCTTACAAAAGAATCTAGTTCGATGTTTGGAGTTTTGTCAGCTCTTGAGGAGCTCTAAAGTGGTATGTCATTCGTTTGCACATTAACTCTCTTTTCCTGCTCTTTCAGACTTCAGACATTTCACTTTCATGCTTTTATACTTTTCCTGACAGGGCAAGTTTCCTACTTCCAACATGGTTTTACCCATATACTGCCTGCCTGCCTGACGGCTCAAGTTGGGAGCACAGCAGGGAAGATCTGGGCGTCGGGGACTGCTTACAATGCAGCGCGCTTCCCCAACACGTAGGCCTTTCAAATCTCATATCAGCTTTTACCTCGAGTCAGCACAAGAGAGTGGAAAGGTGGAAAGACAGGATGGAAGAGTGAAAGAGGGAAGGGCTGGTGGGAGGGCAGGAAAGACACTGCCACAGTAGGGGGCCTTTCACGATGGCGCACTCTGGGAGAAGTGAAAGGATGAAGTGGCAGGTATAGGGGGAAAACAGATTATGAGGAAAAAACCTCCCTGTCTGTCTTTTATTCAATAAAAAGTGGAGAAAAAGCATGTAAAAGTTATGTCCTTGGTATTTGCAGACTTAAAATGTTTAGCTCACCTGCCATCTCCTGACTCATTTGCTTTCACTCTAAATAGCCACTTAAGCAGGTAATACATTGCCCTGGGGTGAGTCTGGCTGCTGCCGAGTGCATCTTTGTATTTGTGTTTGCCTTTTTTAAAAGGCAAGAGCTCATGCTACGTTAAAAATAACAACCGCTCCTCTCAGGGACATAATTGCTGTCAAAGTAGAAGAGAGATAAAATTAAAAAAAAAACAAAAAGAATGAGAGGAGAAAAAATGAAGGACGTGAAGACAGATACCACTAAGTGATAAAAAAAAAAAAAAACAGAGAGAATAAGGGGAGGGAGTATACCAAACTCACTCTTCAAACTCCCACTGGGGGCTGATGTTAGTGGGAACTCCATTAGCAACGATTAAAAAGCCATCTCGCTAACAGCTTGGGAACCTAAATAATCACAAGGTCCTGTTTCATGGATGCCTCCCTACTATTTTCTGATGAGCCAGGAGTGTTGGTGCTTTCAACTTGTGCTCCATAAAGCACCCTGTGACCATGCTCTTGCGTCTACTGATACACACTGAACCTTGTGAGCGATAACAGATGACCATAGCATACACTTTGCACCAGTTCTCATGTCTACTTTCCCTTTGAGGCCTCTTTCACATCATTTGCCCACATGGTGTAATAGTGAGTCCTAAAGCTTCAGCAGATTTTGTGAACAAAAAATATACACTACACAATGCTACCTACCACCAGAGCCCTCTAGATCCACCCCTAAGGCACACATAATGAAAACAGCTGGAAATATAGTATGTTTGTGGCTTTTCTCATATGCCCTAACCCAACGTGAAATCAACTATGTAGCACTTTGTAATACCGGATTCTGAAGGATAAGAAAAATAATGAACACAGACATAACGTTTGGACCAAGCACACTGATAAAGCTGTACATCCACAGCAGTCAGAAAGGCAGTACTTGGTTTATTTTGCTGCAGTGTGTTTCCAAAACTGCAAGATAAGCCTTTTTTTAAGCCAGTGTCGCTCACATAAGATTCAAGTAGCACATTTTAGGAGGATTATTTTCAGAAAAAGTGACTTTAAGATTCTTTTGACATCTGGTAACAACTGCATTTAAAGCTAAATAAGGTGACTTATCTTAACCACGTAACCTGCCACATTTAGTGCATTCATTTAAGCTTATAAAATAGACTGCATAACATCGAAAAACACTCATGCAAAATTACATTAGCAAAGTTTGGAGGCCTTTTTTTTAACCCCCATAAACTAGACCTGTGTTGAAGCAAAGTCATTCCTTCACCCTCGCCTTTTCTGTTGTGATGATTTTCTAAAATGTATCTAACCCTCAATTGAACTAATCTGATGATACAGACGTCCAGGCAGCATGAGTTTAATGCAGCGAGAATGGACTGAAGTTAATGGACAGGCAGGAATTTAAAAGACCAGAGTTATACATCTTTAATGCTTCCTGAAGCACAGTCCAATTTAAATATATCTGATATCTTATTTGTGCTCACTGCAGCAGCAGAGGTTTACTAGAGAAGACACAGCTATAGAAACAGAAAACAGGGTGAAAAAGGAGGTGTGTGTGTGTGTGTGTGTGTGTGTGTGTGTGTGTGTGTGTGTTCAAAGTTTTAATATGAAATGAATATTATGTGAGGAGACAGAACAGAGTGTGATGCATCTGTTGAGATAGCATTCCAGACACAACCAGAGAACATAACTCCATAACTGAACAGAGATTCACCTGAAAACAAAACACAAATAAAATAAAACAAACTGAACCAATAACTTTATGAGTATCCAGAAAGTTTCACCGAGAAAGTATGATTCAAATGAAACATTCAGGTGGATGGCAGTGATCGAGAAACAACTAAGGATGTCTGTTGGCTTGGCAGAAGATAAAACATTCTTGAAATTCTCTGTTTGTTAACACCGGTAACTAGGGCTGTAATAAACCAAGAATTTCTAAACAAACATTCTTCAACCCTGAAATTTTTGACCAAAATTCGACTAATCGGCAGGGGACGACGCAGCTCAGCGGAGCGCAGTTGAAAGAGCGCGGCTTGGCGGGGTGAAAATACAGATATCAGCACAAGAAGACAAACACAAATATTATATTCAACAAACCACGTGGACGCTGCTCAATCGTCCTGTCTCCAGTCGGTCTCCAGTGGGTTGGGCAAATCCAGTAACACAACCAAGACAATCTATAAAACTAAAATGGGTTGGCAAATACATCACAGCTTATCGATTTGAGAGTAACTGAAAAACTAAGAACTTACTCACATAACTACCCAACTACCCCACTAACTGTCCAAAGTCATTTACTGTTGAGCAAAAGAGGGAGTTTCGTATGGAGTTAATTTTATAACATCAGCTGAACAAAGTCGACATGCCCTCAGCTGACTCCTCTTGGACGGGTTACTCTGCAGAATGTCCTATCAAGAGCATGTCCTATCAACACCTGTTTGCTCATTTTACTCATCTACCCTATGTCAGCAGCGAACACATCAGTCTATTAAACGCCCCTTATTTCAGTTCAATATTGATCTTGGATGGCATTGCGAAGCCTAGCAGTAATTGAGTCTTATCTTGATGGTTGTACGCTTAATGAGGTTGGTTGTTGCTGTAGGGCTGCATGGCAAAAGAGCATATGACAGGAATACAAGTTAGGAGGACGGGGGTACAACTTTCCTGACAGAGACTGGGTCCAAGGCCAAATAAAAAAATATCATGACCAACTCACAATTGGGAATGATGCTGAAAAAGCACTTATCAGTATGATAACAATCCAATGTCATATCTACAATGTTGCTTGTACAGTTTGTTTTCAAATAGGGAAGGACCCACGAGGGAGTGAGTCCAGGCAGATAGAAAAACAACTCCTGGGACTTTCATCCAGAGAAATTTTGAACTGCAATGCATAAAGCAACAATATTGGAGGGCACTGTAAATATGGACCCTTTCATATCATGAAAGGCAGCACACATCTTGGATCAGCATCCAATAGTACATTCTCAACATAGATATTGCTTGAAAACATTGTTTTCCCTTGGCTTAATGCTTTTCACAAAAGCGTACACATGGCCTCATGTTCCTCTTTCACTGAATACACCTACAGTGAATGAATCCTCAGAGTGATGTGTGCCTTAGTGTGAGCAAACGACTGTACATTTCGCACAATCCCCTTGGCTCTGCAGAGGAAGAAATGATTTCAATATTCCCTAAAATGAGACATGTTTTCGTGAATACTGTTGATCTTTCTGCACCAACAGTGAAAAATATATGCATTTATCACAGATGACCAATAAAGATATTCTTGTGACGGTAAACACACTCCATCTCCACATGTTTCAGGAGCAAACAGTGCTGATGGAACATGATGCATATACTCCCTGTGGGTTTCAGAGGTTAAACGCTTTTTCCAGCCCTTACTCAAAGTGAGTGGTTCTCACAACAGCTATAGCTCATGTTATGACAAAGACTGTTATTTGGTGCCACGGCTGTGTAACATGGTTTGAATACTTTGAATCAAACAACGTTGTGTTGTGCTGTATCAAATCATACCAGAGAAGATCTTTTATACTTAAATGAATCTGTCCTGGATCAGATGGTAGCCATGACAGACTGATGTGGACTGGATCATCATAAAAAGGAGAGATGCATCAATACAAACCATAGACTGTGTATACTATGGCCAATTTGGCTCCGCCTTCCGTCATTATGCAAATTTGAAGCCCAATTGCCCTCTGTATTTATGTTTTTTTCCCACCTTCCTGGAACCACTACTTGCGCAGTAGCATTGTAAGCACTCGGCGGAGGAGTCGCTGTGATGACGCTCGGCTCAAACAGCGTATCCCCCAGGTGAGCTATGAAATCTTTGTACGCCAATACGCCAATGTATCAAGTGTGAATCATAGAAAACATGAACCCCCTGATAACTTTTAAAAACTGAGCTTCACAGAAAAAAGAGGACTTGAGCACAAACCAGTCTTACTGTAACTACATGTCAACATCGCAACCAGGGGGGAGAAAAAATTATATTCTGTATAAGAAATTTCTAAAGTTTGTCCACAGCTCCATAGGGATTGCTGGAGGAGGCGGGATTTATGACCTATACTGCAGCCTGTCAACAGAGGGTACTATTCTTGTGATGGATCACCCAGCAAGGAGGCAGATGTTCCAAAATTATTCGGTCTAAATAAGCATTTATGTAGCAAGATTATACAATGTAAACACAGAACTGTGGCTCAATGCCACCTAAAAGATGCTTGCTAGGATGAGATAACTGACCATAAACAAGAAGACCAAGTCCCCTGCAAACTCACTCTCCCATTGACAGCCTGTCAACCTCTCTTTTGACCTGTGCAACTCAATCTCTAAACCCTCCACTAATGCCTAGATAGCCTGTACATGTTAGGAGTAGGGGGTAGGGCAGCGATGCATTAAAATGTTCATATATCTAATTTATCTGATTGTCAACCATTTCTTCTGTGAGTCCTGTCGACAGGCACCCAGGGGCTCAGTGTCATTTAGAGGTGAGAGCAGCATGAGCCAACCGCAGAAAATATTACTTTTATTCAATGGATGTGAAATGATTGACAGCCTTGAATTGCTTTGCCTGACCTTGGAGGACTGGTGCTCAGACTGAAGTTAGCATTTTTGTGTGGGTGTGAAACAGTGGCCCTGCAGTCTAGTCTCAAACAGAATAGCTCCTTGTTTGCCTTGACCTTGTATTTTCATACAGTTACGTTTTAAGCAAGAGAAGCACACAGGAGATGTCACTTATGAGGTAGAGTGACCATATAGCAAATGTTTTAGCATACAGTCAAGAATGTGGGGTGAGTAACAAATATTACAAACTGTTTATTCCTTTAATATTTTAAAATACTGCTTAGGTTGTGCTTTAACACGTGATTAAGTATTAAAGACATAAAAGTGCTTTTATGTACTTCATATACATTTATGTTAAGTGTAGTAAGTAGTATTTAGTAACACTTAACAGGACAAAGTTGGCAGAAATAGAAAGCAATATTCATGAGTATGTCTAGCAAAATTGTGAATATTAAACTTTTTAAAACAAGCCTTTCATATCTGCATAATTAGCAGGTCTCCTTCCTGAGAGACCACCATCTTTCACTGTTTCCATAGTAACCCCAAATGCACAAACTCTACACAGCTGTGCATGTTGTTGTATTCAGTGAATGGCTATGATAAAATTGCATTATTTAATAAATACAATTGTCCTGCTCAGAATTCTATTGCTTTATTGACTGCTTTATTTTTGATTTGTAAATTAATTTACTAATTGATAAGTCATTACATATTGTCAAAACTGAAGTGTCGGCCAAAGTGCCATCTATTGTCAAACAGTGAAGATGGGGGATTCATTGTAATGTGAGACATAATGTTGAGCGAGTTCATTCAATTAACAACCTGAATTAGTCAGCTAGACATCAGTTAATAGTTGACCTCTTATTAATCAATTTCTTTCACATTTAGCCCTGCCTAGGACTGATAAAAACCTGCAATGAATTTTAGGAGATAACTGTAATACCAAGATAATACGTTTTCTGGAATTATTTTTCCTGCACGGCCGTGCCTCTATGATAAGAGGTACACTTTGCAGAGTTGTACAAGTATGCAGGTGACATTCCATTACAGCTGGATGAGACAGCCTTGAGTTTTAAAAGGAAGGGCACGCTAAGGAGTGTTGAGAAACGAAGTCGATTTAAATTATTGGATTGCTCACAATACAAAATGCTTTTTAATGCCTGTATTTGCCCTTGTTGTGGTGAAGCAGCTATGTTATCTGGAAATCTGAGTTATCCCCACTATACGAACATACATGACGAAGCCATCTAGTATTTATCAGAGATGAACAAATATTCACCAATTTCAGATGTAAAGGAAGAAACTAAATTCAGGCCCTGAGAGGTTTGACAGAAAAAAAGTGCTGTCTGGCTATGGATTAGTCATCATAGACCAAAACAGTAATGATATTTGAATGGCAAAAACAACAGAAAAAGTTGAAGCTAGGGCCGGGCGATAAACCGAAAATTTAACGACACCTAAATTCATGACAATAACCAACATCATTTTGCCAATTTCAGTATATTCGGTATCAAAACAATAAATAAAGGGTTATGTCCCTCTAAGACTGTCCTTTGTCGGACATGTGACTCCACCCCATTCAGTCTGTAACAAAGAGGGAAAGACAGGTGAGGAGATGGAGGATGGTTCAAAAGTTGTAGCGGCTGAAGTAGAAAAAGTTATTATGAGAGGGGGTGAGCAGCTTGTGGAGTAGTTATCATCCATTTATCGTTATCGAGGTGAACTTTTCAATATATCATGATATTGATTTGAGGCCATATCGCCCAGTCCTAGTTCTAGCTAATATGGCACGCAAGTTTATGTAAAGTTGTGGTTTCGCTGATGTGGTTAGCTGGTATTTTATGATGTCAAATAATACTGTCAAAATGAAGATTATGACTAATTAAGCAAGCTAAATATGTAATAAATAAGTTTTTTGTTTAGATGGGGATAAAAGGTTAATATTTCTGCTCAATATAGCGACACCATAACATGTCACTGTATAACTTGAAAGGTAAGAAGTGCCGTTTGCCAAACGTAGTCGAGGTAGTAATTTTGGTATTTAGGTTTCATTTCAAATAATCAGTTTTCACATGTTTATTTTGAAGAAAGTAATGATCTGACGGCTCTGCTTCTCAACATTTAAATGTTTCCTCAAAGTGTTGGGGCTGCAGCTTTATTTGATTATTCAAAATGAACCGTAATGAGGTTTATCACATCTCTGGGTGTCTTTAATCTCAGCAAGAGAAAATGTTTGCAGTAGTGAAAAACTAGCACTTCGATATCCACAAACAATTTTCTGGGTTTATGGAGTTCCCTCAATTTCTCTGAGTCACTGCCTTCTCCCCCTATAACCCTCAGAGTCCCTTTTCCCTCTTTCCTTTTTTCTTACCCCTTATCTACCCACATACAGACAAAACACACACACACACTAAGGAACATACTGCATGCTAGTGGTGCAATGGAAACATCTATCCTCTGTGGAGTAACTCCCATCAGCCTGAGCCAAGTGTGTGTGGGCTGATGAGGTGAAAGTAATCTAAATGGTGTTCTGAGCAGCGGAGGTGGCACACAACACACACACTTGTTGTAAATTCTATCATTGCACTCCCATTGTGGCATATGGGCCTTTCCAGGGGAGGCCGTAGCTCCAAAGGGGGAGAAAATATCGAAAATGAGTTGAACCCCCTCCGAGATGGGGGGTCATTGCATTCCTGTGCAATTTTCTGTCGCTCCCTCTCAGGGGTCAGTAATTGAGCGTCAGAAATTGGAGGAATTGCCACAAGTCGAAACAAAGTCACAAAACGGCTTTATTTTCTCAGTTATATATATGAAAAGGGAAAAAGCCAACTGGGAACAGATGAGAGGGCCAGAAGGTGGTTTTATGTCTGTCCATGTCTGCACAAAATAGAAAACAAACGGGTGTCCTCATGTATGTGTGTTCAGTCTGGCAGACGTTCAGAGGCGGTAATTTCCCTTGTCGTATATATTTGTGTTAGTAAAGATGCTCTTGCCGGTCCCTGAGCTGGTTTCCAAATGTAGAGCAAAGCATCTCCCAACACACTCCTGCAGCTTGGAAGCGGAGCGCAACTTGTTTTTATCTTCAAGGACAAGGTGACCTCACACTGTTAACACCGAAAAAGGGGAAAAATTGAGAGCAGCTGATCTTCAGGGGATATTAAACAAGACAAATATGTACCCTCCCATCAGCATAGGCACAAAGAGTAATGTCTGATGCCATGTGAGAATTTGAGAAAGTTTGCAGTTGTTAGCAGTGACACTGGAGGACACTTTGGTCAAGGCTGTGTGGTGGTTTAATTTCATAAAGAATCCTAAAGGATGCAGCTAAATAAAATGATTAAATAAAATTAATGATTCAAATGTGCAGCAATGACAGAGTTTTTATGAGACTTAATAAAATAAAAAAAAAGATGTACCATTACAGACGGTTAGAGATGATTCTGGATGTAAGTAATCATCTAAATTAATGATCTATCTGAGGGTTATCCTTCTCATCCTTCCCAAGTGCAAGTGTTAATGACAAAACGCTGCAAAACAAGGAGAGAGAAATTCTCTGATCACAGTATGAAACAATTTATCACATCAAAAAACCAAAAGATCAAAGTGAGACAGCAGATTTATAATTTATTTTGACTCTTCGCATAACGATATATTCCCAGATTCACTATTTTCACTTATCCCTTTACAGAGGGACAGTTTAATTTTATTTTATCCATCCCTGGGCAAGCTGATATACTCATAGAAAACAATACGCGTTCTTCCACAGGCATACAATCTGAATCTTGGCAATTTCTTTCCTCTGGCTTTGCAGTATCTACAGAAATGTAATCTGTGTGTCTGTATTAAAATTCATGAGGACAGATAAGAAGAGACTTTCATTAGTGTGGGATTCTGGTTTTGAGGGAAAGTCGAAATACTTCCGGCAGCACTTTTTAGGATCTTTTCTGAGGTCAGCAAAGAGAGGTCAGGGAGGGTTTTTGGCCTCAAACCATCAGTTTCAAAGAACATCATATGCAGCAACTTTGTCCTTGTTGTGTGCTGCAGGTTTTAGCAACTACAGACATCAGAAAAACTTTACAAAAGGATACTGGTTTACTTCAGTTCAGGCTCTACAAAACCAAGCCATGAAACAATGACCAAAAAGCACCATGATAAGACTGATTCGTCTGAAGAAAATTATCTTGTCCCTATGGCTTGAAAAAGCTATGAAAAGTAGTGGGAACTAGGGCTGGGCGATATGGCCTCAAATCAATATTACAATATATTGAGCAGTTCATCTCAATAACGATAAATAGATGATAACTACTCCACAAGCTGCTCATCCCCTCCCACATTCATTTCGTCTACTTCAGCCGCTACAGCTTTTGAACCGTCCTCCATCTCCTCACCTGTCTTTCCCTCTATGTTACAGACTGGATGGGGTGGAGTCACGTCTCTGATATAGGACAGCGTCTTAAAGGGACATGAGACCATAGCCTACCTACAAACATCCAAAACCAACTTATTTGTTTAATTATTTGACACCGAATATATTGACATGGGCAAAAAGATGTTGGTTATTGTCATAAATTTCGGTGTAGGTAAATTTTCGGTTTATCACCCAGCCCTAGTGGGAACTAAATTGAATGAGGAAATTAGTTTTCAGTTTACGGATTTACAGATTGTCATAAACCATACATGAAAATAAGATGATGGATTCATCAATCACCCAGCTGTAGTGGAATCATCATCCATTAATTTTTTTCTTTCATTTTTGATGTCCATTTTACCCAACTATGCAAATCACAATGTATAATCATGAAAGTGTGATTCATTTTTTTAACATGCCAAATTTAAAAGTTTATTAATACGCTGTTTACAAAGTCATGAAATAGTTATTCCATAGGATAACACATTTTGGGTAAAAATTTTGATGGATAGTGATTCATACTGCCCTGAAACATCAGGACTAGGGCTGGGCGATAAACCAAAAATTTACCGATACCGAAATTTACAACAATAACCAACGTCATTTTCCCCATGTCAATATATTCGGTGTCAAAAAAATAAATAAACAAAAGTTGGTTTTGGATGTGTGTAGGTAGGCTTTGGGCTACCAACACACTCCACCCCATTTGAGGCCATATTGCCCAGCCCCAATCAGGACACTAATATCTCTGTTTATCTAAAAGTAGACTTTACTTGACAGGTGTGTAGGTTCGAGTGAAAAGCAGCTTGGGGGCCACAAAGCTGTGTTAGACCAGCTTTAATCTTGACACATTGACTTTGTTGAGAAAAACAATGTTCACCATTCCTCTCACAGCTGGCAGAGCAAATATTATGTTGGAGGAAATATGCAATTGGAATTTTCATACCAGCAATTGCCTAACATGAAAAATAAAGCCGTTATAGTCTAGGGCAGAGGGCTGCTTGTTGAACAGCAAATCTAAATCAGAATTATTTTCAGCATTTAAATCAATTCTATAAACATTGTGCACTCAATAATTCATTTTAGAAACCTGCCAAGTGTTGCCATCTGCAAAAGCATATCTTATACCACCATTTAAACATCCTTGCAGCAACCCATTCAGAGGTTTTTCACTAACTTTTCAGCCATCTGATGGCGCACATCAATATCAAATGGCTCAGGTGTCTTGACAAGAGGCCTGCTCTATAATCTCTTGACTGATGCAAGAAGCTGTGTTTCACATACTACATTGTTAAATAATCGAAATGTCAGGCTTGCTGCGACTCTTTTTCCCCACTTCAATGAAAAACTCAGAAGTGCGGGTGCCCACATTCTTTGTCAACAGTCTTGCAGTCTGGCACTGACAAACCTCCTGCTAATTTATAGCGAGGACAGAAGCGGAGTGCCACGGTCTTCTCTCTTTTAAGCGTATGTCATGCTGTCACCTAAAATTTGTTTTGTAGCGGGGATTAGACTGTGACTGCAGCCTTCCTGACAAGGCTTCAGGCGCTTAGTTTCTAAGCACCAGCTGGTCACTTATTAGCTCTGGCATGCATTGGAAGTGCTATTGATGCACAGCTAATGGAGAAAAACAGTCTCAACTCCACAGCCTCTTTTCTCTGTTCATAGCCAGAGATATCACTACAGGTTGTATTATTATCAGCAAAAGTCTGAAATGTGTGTTTGTAGATGAGATTTAAAGCCCAAGAATCTAGCACAGTAAACATAAAATCAACCAATTTGCAACCTTTAAAGAAAAACGCATTAACCCATATGATGCGACTGAGAAATACGCACCTCACTGATAAAAAAATATTGCACTTCCAAAGCCTGAATGACGCTGTCTAAAAATAACATTTTGCGATAACCAGAAATTAGGAGTCAAGGTTGCAAAACAAACCCATGCGAGTTTGACTCCACATGTGTCATAATAAAAGTATAAAACAATAGACTGCTGGTGAGGAAGCTTGGCTGAAATTTACCGGTCAACAATCACTGAACCCCCTCATGGGCGGTCACAAGCTCTTGGCAGTGGCTTAAAGAGTGATTTCACAGACAAGCAGCCAAGATGATATTTCTCGGCAGGGTGACTGGTCTCACTCTACGTGATAGTGGAGTGTATTGAGAGAGCTCAGCCATTTGAAAGGACGCTGATATCAGGCCGCAGCTCTTTTATGTTGAGGGGAAGCCAATGGAATTTGGGTAAATGTTAAGGATATCCTCCCAAGAAGTCCATTAAGGAGAGGAATTGAGGAATGTGCAACTTTCTGGTCAAGTGGAAGTGTTTGGAAATCTTTCAGGGGGACCTGGAAGATTTCCAAAAATAGATGCATTTGATCTGCTCCTTTTACTCTAAACATCCTCCAGACCTTTTAAACATAAAATTTTGATCATTTAGCTTCTCCCATGATACTCCCATCATCCATTTTTGGACTTGTGACAGACATTTGGCTAAGTTGTGGTCAGTTCTTTTCTCTATGACCGCTCAGCTGCCACCAAATTAAGCTGTGGTGAATGAGCACACCTTCTAGGGCTGGGCAATATGGCCGCAAATCAATATCATGACATATTTAAAAGTTCACCTCGATAACGATAAATGGACGATTACTACTCCACAAGTTGCTCACCCCCTCCCACATTAACTTTTGAACCATCCTCCAGCTTCTCACCTGTCTTTCCCTCTTTGTTACGGACTGGATGGGGTGGAGTCACGTCTCTGAAATGGGACAGCGTCTTTAAGGGACATGAGACCATAGCCTAACTACACACATCCAAAACCAACTTTTATTTATTTTTTGACACTGACTATACCAACTATACCGGGCAAAATGACGTCAGTTATTGTGGTAAATTTCGGTATTGGTAAATTTTCGGTTTATCGCCAAACCCTAACGCCTCCGCACTTTACTATCTTTTCTTTGGTGTTCGCATCAACAATGACATGCATTCAAAGCACACCTCACAGTGAATAAGGATGAACAAAGCATAGTTAGTGTGTCTTGTGCTTTTGTGTCGGTGAAAAATGACATAAAGACCAACAGCAGGATTTGCAGGATTATGTGTTAGGAAGAGTATATGCAAGATAACAGTGTGAGGCCTCATGTGCATAAGAAAGAAAACGGTGGCAGGTGAAGATGAGAGAAAATCATTCCTGAAAATCAAGAAGGCAGTCATCTAGAGTATGTGAAATGAGGTCTCGGCAGGTGGTCAACAAAGCCAAAGGCAAACTTAAGACAAGCCCTGAGTTATTCTCCATCAGTGTCACCTTCCTTTATACCCCCAACAGCTGTCTGTCTTTGCTGCTTTTAAAAATCTACATTTCTAAAAAAAAAAAAACAACTTTTGATAAAATGAAATGCAAATTAGACAACTCTCCTTTTTTAAGTCAAACAAAAAGTCCATCTACACATGTCTGTAGAGACCTTAGATTATTATCCTGCTTTACTGTCAGCTGCTTTGGAGGCATAAAAAAACACCATTACACCCATTACTGCCAAGTTTTGTACATCATTAGTCTAACAAATGCATTGCCAATGCTATTTTTGCATAATTCCTCTCAATATCTGTCATCGTTTTTTACTCCAACTACTCCTGATACTTAAGTTTCTATTCCCTTCCCATCTCTATCACTCTTTCGTCTTTTCAGAGGCTTTATTTCCTGTATGTGTCAGCACTCTATCCTCCCCGAATACCTCTTTGTATAATACTTCATTCATCTTTTTGTCTCCCTCTTCTTTCATTTTGTTACTTGGAATAACTATAGAAAAAATGATGGTGTTGCCTTACAGTGTTTCAGAGACATTGATTGGAATAGGATGAGGAACATATGACCTTTGACCTCTTAGGTACAATGACATAATGGTTGTTATTTAGCACTCAGCCTTTAAATGTAACAAAAAACATTAGAAATATTCATTCAAGCCATATTTTTGCCTTTTCTTCAAATATAACATTTGTTAAAATAAGACTGATGAATTGACTTTTAATATTTAGCATGGTTGCTATAGAAACATGGTAAGAATTTCAGAGGTAAAAGAGGAAGAAGAAAAAGAAGTAGGAGAGAAAAGATAAAGAAGCAGAGGGGAAAGATTTTAAGGTGAGGGATGAAAAATGTAAAACTCACACAGCGTGGCAGCAGCTGGGCTGTTAAGTTGACGAGCACGGTTAATTTAAAGAGACATGCCTCCTCTACAAATACTTGTGCATTATATCATGACAACCGCCATATTTCAGGGTTTTGTTTACATGTCGCCTACCAGTTCAGTAATGATGGTTTGTGCAGGCGTTACATTGAAAAACTAGAGGTGGTTATAAATTTTAAAAGAACCAGATATATTTTTTAAAAATCTTAAAGCCTTTTATTGTCAACAACATCTTTCTACTTCTCCCCATGATGCAAAGAGTGTCACGGCCATGAAACCTTAAATCCCCTTGAATTAGCAGGCCCTATGATTCCATTTGTACTTATTTACTCTTGCATAGTTAAGAAACCCAAAAAAGGGTAATGTTTTTGCTTTCTTTTACATTTTTTAACATATAGACACTGAAGGAATAAGTCATAGGTACTGCTATAACCATTCAGCCATGTAAAGAACCTAATTAAATCTACAGTTACACTGCAGCTGAAACTATTTCGTCTAAATACTTTCAAGCCTTTAGCAAAATCTCTCTGCCTACTGTTTACTCATGCTTAGTCCCTCTTGTAAATGCATTAATTACAGAACTAAGTTTAACCACTCGAGCAAATAAAAGCAACTGATTCTGGAGACAAAATGTGTGGCTTCTCTTTAAGCGGAATCTAGTTAAGGAAAGGGAATAACTCCCAAACATCACATACAAATTAAATAAAACCTTTAATGTTTCATTTTCTCCCTGATGTTTGAAAGGTCAAGGACCCGATAAGCAAGTACACTTGAGACAAGAATAAGGACAAATCATAGCCCCTCTTACCCCCTATTTCCCTCTAACATCTGGATCCAATCTGGGTTTCAAATAAGACCTCTGCCTACAAGGACTGCTTCATCAGATTCTGTGTACTGGTAAATAACTCCATGTTTTTTTATAACAAGACTGTCAGGGTCTCCATGAGCCCGACAACCTTTCCAACTCAAAGTCACGGATTAATTTCCTCCTCCACGGCCCCATGAGCATTCTAGTATTTGCTCCATGGTTCTATCTTAGAAGGGAGCAGAAACACATCTATATATATGGTGTGTAATCTGCACATGTTGTCTGAAGGTTTCTACTATTTGGATCACCGGTTCAACCTTCTCTGGTATGCTTTGGTCAAAACCATTAATTCTGCAGCAAATTATGAACTTCTTGCAAATGTCACACACAAGCAAAATATTGATTGTTCTGAAATGTCACGTAGGACCTTACATCAGTAGACAATAGAGCCAGTAAAGTGCAGAGAATTGATTTAACTTGAGATGTCTCACTTACCACAAATCAGCACCTTTTTTTTAACTTTCAGCTGCAGAATCAACCAGACACATGGAGCTTGATTAATAAATCTTCAGAGAACCTGAATGCACCGCATTAAAGGTAGTGGAGCCGTGGTATTTAATCTCATATGGGTTGTTAAAAGTCGAATTTAAGCCCGTTAGAGCTCAGCCTGAAAATTCTTAGGGGTCAGGGTCAGTTCCTCAGACTGTGGATAGTGTACTAGGATTTAAAGTTTGATCTCACAGATCACACAAGACAGAACAGATCATTTGCAGGGGAAAGAGAGCGCTTTGATGAAAAACATTACAATATTTTTGAGTGACTGAAGCAGGCTTGAAGGAAACAGGGACTGAAAGAAACGTCAAGATCACAGAGCTTTAAGTTTGAGAATTGTTGTGCAAGATACAGAAACAAAAATGAAGTGCCCTTAAGCAAAGGCAATCCTGAAGTTGATAGTGGTCAACAGAGAGATCTGGTTGAAGGCATATAAAGAATCAGATGCAAGGTGTTGCTGAAAAACAGTATTTGTTGTGAACAGCTTAGTTACCAATCAACTGTTTTTCAAATACTGGATTACTGTGGGAATATTAAACTATTGTGGTAGAGTCAGAGTTAGACAAAGTTAATCCACACTTGTTTAACACTTCACAGTCTGCCATCTGTGTATTCTTGTTTACCACTGATTTAATGTAGGAGCACGGACAGGGAAGGCTTCCTGTCGAATACTTCGTAACTTGGCAAGTTAATAAGCACTCTGACAGCTGCAGAGGATCTCTCTAAACCGGCTATGAAACATGCGCACACACACTTCCTGATTCAAGTCTCCAAAGACATACTTCTGTTGTGTCCTACATATTTTTAAGCCCTGAGAACCAAAAAATGGTCCAAATACGTCCTGCCAATTAGAGGTAAATTAAATGGGGATCCATAACAAATGATCAATTAATGACTGACTGGGAATGAACTATCAGAAATGCTTTTTAAATGCATTTTGTAAAGTTATTGCCTGTTTAGGTTTTGATTTTGACCAACAGTTCCTCGTCATAAAAGAGGCAAAAAAACATTTCGATGCATTAGCTTCTACGACTCACTACATTATTATTTGCTTCTGATTTATTAACACCCCAGCTTTAAAACTTGTTCTAAAAATACTTTCTCCACAATCAGAGAGAACACAGACAAAAGAAAGACAAGAAAAGTCCTTGTAAAAGAGAAGAAGTGTATCTTTGAGAGAAGGTATAAAAGAATGAGGACATCTAAAGACGAGAGTTGGATCACAGAGTCTATCAATCAGAAGTCGAGCAGGAGAGGCTCCAGATTGCAGAAAATTGTATGTGCCCTTGAGCAGATCTACAGCCTTTGTCCGCCTGAAGGAAAATGGCTGTTGCATTGAAATGACTCCAAATGGCTGAATGCTATACACGGGTCATTGATGGGCTACGTGTGTGTGTGTGCATGTGTGTGTGTTCATGAGTGTGTGTTGTGTTTCGAGGGAGCCAACTTTGCCAGAGGCTTGCAGACTCCATCCGATTAAACAGAGCGAGACAAAGTGATCAGTCACCTCCACTTGCCCTTCTAAGGTCTCACAAACAAGCACTCACAAAAAAAGGACAACATAATAGGGTTCAACAACACATTTTAACCATGATGCAATGAGATACGATATAACACCATACCATACCATATCATACATTGTTGTCAACACCATAGATGATAAAACTGGTTTATTAAGTTTCATATTTTCTAAATGGAGAGCTGTATCTGTCTCCACACACCAAGCACAAGTAAAATCATTCGCGCAAATGAATTGCGTGTTAAGTCAATGCAAAGACGGAATTAGACGCGAATTGGGCAAGAGCTGAAAATGTCTCAACGTGAGTGGATATTAGCATTGCGATAACCAATCAGCACGAAGGTTGAACTGGTGGGGATTACCGTTGACGCGCAAATGAAGCGAGTAAATGCTATTCATTCACGTGTCTAGACTTGTGCGAATTAAGCAATAAGAAGAACTTTATCAATCCTCAAAGGGAAATTCAACTGTCTGTTGTCTCACATAATGTCTCTAAAAGTTATCTACTATTTACACAAGAGTTATAAAGTCTGATGGCTGTTGGTACAAAAGATCTTCTGAATCTTTCTGTCCTGCAGAGAAAAGAGAGGAGCCATCCACCACCATTTGCCCTTTGGTCCATCAAGGTGTTGTGAAGTGGGTGATCCATGTTCTTTAGAATAGACTCCACCTTCCTCGGTGTACATCTCTCCACCACATCCTTTAGTCCAGCTTGACTGTAATAATTTAATGGCTTACCTGCCTCTCTGAAAACCTGCATTCCCTACCTGTTAAAAAGACACTAAAATAGTTACTAGTTATTCTCAGGATTCCTTTTTCGACCATATGATGTAGAGTAAAAGTCATTTCACACATTGGAGCGTTTTTGTTGTGTGATTATATCGGACGTCAATATTTTTTTTCGAACCCGTATCCTGTCAATACAACCGTTCATATCAGCGACGTTTTGATGTCCTGCGATATTGTGGCATTTATTTTTGAACCAACAGAGCTATTTTTGTCTTTCCTTGTCAAATAATTCTGTCTTTTCCAGACACAATAGAAGCAACAGAGCAATAGGAGGAAAACAAGGAAAGGCTGATGATGGGGGGGGAAATGAAAGGGATGGTCAATCCATTTTGGCATAAAGCTCTGAGATCCAGAGTGTTCACTGTTATGTCCACTATGTGATTAATCTGAGACAAGCAGTGCAAATTAGCTCTTGGTTGATGGGCTGATACAAATTCACACCTATTGGAGATACTATAAGAAGCATGCTGTAGATAGACATATTTCATTCAGATAAAAACCAACATAATATACATTGGACATACATGACACCAATGGGTAAATGGGTAAAACAGCCTAAAACTGTGTCTTTATACCTGTACTCCATGGAAACCTGAAATAACAATAACTTAAGATATACAAAAAATACTGAACAACACTTTAGTAGTTTCTGGACAGCTGCAAACAAACTGAAGGGCATTTTCTATCAAAGCACTAACTTTTTCATCTACCTGAGCTCTTCTACCCACTCTCTGTCACACACACGCAAACAAACTAAAGAGGGTGAAATGTGTGTGACACACTGAAGATGTCACAGTGTACCTGCCAATAGAAGTCAACATATTACTCTTAAAAAAGTTAAACACGGCAGACAAGCCCAAAGCATGTAAACAAATCTATCAAACTTAGTGCCAGTGTGTATCTCTGAGAGGTCCAGTCTAAGAAAACCAAGAGGTGGTGAAAACTGATTATGAAAGTGAGGTTGAGTTCTTCAAGCCCCTGTATGTGCATGCTTGTGTATGGGTGTAGGTGTCTTCTTTTGAATGATATGAAAGGCTGTTTGCAAACACAGCCAGGCTAGTAATTTGAAATAGCTGCCCCGGGGCACTGTAGTCATACAACTATCCAAAAAAATCACACTAATGTCATGATGGTTATTCAAATTTTCAGAAAGAAATAAAGAAAGGGTTACATTCAAGAGAGATTTTGATGAAAAGATCCCTTTTAGCAACAAATCCTACACAATGTTAACTCTATATATAAAAACACACATACTTTTATTCAGAACTTGAATAATGCCTTATCTGCTAATTGGTTCAGAATAAAATAATTAATCTTTGCAGTTAAGCCCACAAAGCTTGAAGAGGTAGTGGGCGAAGTGGCACATCACAGGCTTTACCTCAATATATCATCACAGCTTGAGTTTAAGCAGCCATATGCTGTAATGAAAGGAAAGATCCGCGTTTTTAAAGTTTTGCCAAAAGAGCTGAAAGTTTAAGACTGGCAGTGCCTCCACTACATGTTATCGAGAGGGTAATATAATCATTAACAGTTCTATTTTTATGTTAAAAGGTACATGGGAAGTGAAAGAAACACTGAAAAGATATTCAGGATAGCAAACCTACCAAGGTTCGCAAATTATATGTTTCCAGCAGCAGAATATTTAACATAAAACTCAAGATATTGGCCTCAAATGCTGCTACTGCACAACCAAGACACATCTTTATGACAGTATGTTCACACCATAAGTCATGTGAGCAAATGTGATTTAAAGCAATGACAGTGTCACATGCTAACATGTATAACAACAGCCAATTAAGAGGAAAGCATGCTTAACCATTTAACAAAGTTATCAACAGGAGCAAATACTGGATAATGGCATGACAGCAGGTGTTGTGCTGTAGAATGCATCCCCTGCATCCCATTCACTCCTTAGCTTCTTAAAGTGGAAGAAAATGATCTCATATTAAAAAGAAAAACACAAGTCTTGGATCATGACAACATGTCAACTGGAGCAGCAAACTTTTGTTCTGTTTTTATGTCTCTCAAAAATGCAAACATAGAGGTGTACTTGGGTGTATAAACTGTACAGTAAGCTGTTAAGATATTTTTAGGGCTATTGTTTTTGGTTTAACTGAAGAGCCTGAATGAAATCATTAAAGGCACACGTATTTGAATCCATCCAATGGTAAAGAAAACTTGGATTATTTCGCCTTGTTATGTACTTTCAACCGCGCTCCCGTCAGGGGGGCATTCTACGGCAGGGGTGCATTCTACGACACAACACCTGTCAGTACAGAACAACGAACAATAAGCGCCCTCTACCTGCCATGTTTGAGCTTTTCCTGACATTTAAATATACAATAAGACAACAGCAGGTTAAAAATTACTCACAGTGCAGTGGCTCTCTGAAGTAAAGTCCACACGTCTGACTTTAAAAAATGAAGATAAATCCTTTGTGAAGACTCAACAGGTGGACCGACATCTTGTCCATGACCGAACGGTTAGCTAGCAACGTTTCCTCGACCAGACTTGAAGTAGAAGAAGCAGCCCCGCTAGGTCGGTAGTTTAGCTTAAAATGTCCCATATTACACTCCTTTTCAGCAGGTTCACATTGGTCTCAGAGGTCCCAGAAGAGTACAATTGAAGTTTGTTGTCTAGAAACCCTGTTTTTCCTGGTCTTCACACAGCCTGAAAACTTTCCGTCGTGAGCTCCACCGAGAACACCCTATTCCTGCGTGCTGCGCCTGTCCACGACTCCTCCAGCGCAGGCCACGCCCCTCCCTGTCTCTCTGGAAGAGGGAGCGTGGCTTGCGCTATGGTACCATGCGCTAATGCTGCTGTTACAAGAGAGTATGGTGGCCGAGAACCGCCACTGCTGCAAATAAAAAATAAAAATAAAAAAAAAGAATGCAAAAAAAAAAGTCACAAAAGAAAATGGTGCAGATTTAAAAAAAAAAAGCCACAGTGGAAGTTAACAACGCAAAAAAAAATGTGGCGATGCCGAAAGAAAAAAAAAGTTACTTCCTGCGAAAATAAAAGGATGCAAAAAATAAATTAATAAATAACTAAAGCCACAACGGAAGTGAGCTGCCAGGGACCAATAATGATGATGCACAAGTGTTTTACGATCTGGACACAGAAGACGAACAAAGAAATAAGTGAAAAAGTTACTGTTTAATTTCACTTTGTGTGCTTTTCAATTTGTCATTCGGTTAGGCCATGTAGCGCCTGAGTCGATATGAAGTTGAACTGGAGGATGCCTGGGTAGTGTTAGCTTCAGCTCAACTTCATATCGACTCAGGCGCAAGTAACTTTTTTTTCTGCATCACCACTTTTTTTTTTGCTTCGTTAACTTCTGTTTTGGCTTTTGTATTTATTTATTTATTTTTGTTTTGCCTCCTTTTATTAAAACACATTTCCTACAGCAAAAGATTTACAGTGAGTGATAGTTTTGACCTTTGATTGAAAACAAGATGAGATATTTCACAAGAAAACACAGCTTAATGTGAAAACTCCCTTCAAGGACAACTTCCTCAATAGAGTTTAAAGAGGTTTGTCAATATCAAATACCTTGCAAGTTGTCTCCCTAGAACTGTTTTAGTTAGTGAAGTATTTCCCAGTATGGTGGATGGGAAGTTTAGACTGGGACAACAGAAAATAAACTTTCTCAAAGAAAACGAAGTGTGGAAAACTGCAGAAATATTCAGCAAAACCAGAGTTTTCTAAGGTGAATTAAAACCAAAGAGAATCAGGGTCAAATGATGCGTTAGTTCAGGAGGGCAGAAGGTGTTTTACAAGTGAGGTATGTTTTTACATTCATATTTTTTTTCCCCCTGTATTTTGGAGTTTATTTTGAGACACAGCAAAATAATCAATTTGCTAACTTCAAAGAAATGGCTAGAGTCTATCAAGTCTGCTGAAAGGGCTTTGAGCAGCCTGATGCTGGAGAGAAAAATATTTCTTGTTAGCCAAAGAAACTCTGAAAAACTCAAACTATTGTGGTACAGTGTATCCTGTGTTACATATGTCGTATATGCATTATATATTGTGCAAAGTTTAAGCCACAGCCCCACCATCTGCTGTCGTTTCTACAACAGTTTTTCAAGTCCAGAGTGCTCCCTTTTGGGTTGAATTTCTCAGTATATCCGAGTGTCTTCTTCCCAAGACACCAAGGTCTCCAAGCTTTCTCATTGACAGCCCAAGATTTCCATCTCGCCTAACAGCACTCATGATAGAGGATGCTTGACGTGTCTTAAGTGTTATCCCACCATTTCTCCACTCCTCTCCTTAAAGATGAGTATTTTGTTGTTGTGGTTGCTGTTCCAACATCATATACAACAAGTTTTTGTGTACTGGTGGCATGGATATGAAAGGATAAAATGTGTTGTGTCTGTTTCCTGGTTGGTCACAAACAAGTTTCAGACACAGACACACACTAAACCACAGAACAGTTCACAAGCTCTACAATTAACAATAAAAAAAAGAAACTATCTTGAAGTCAGTTGTGCAGTCAGATAAGCAAATGTTTAACAACTCCAGCTCATTGAGTTTAAAGTCACTCTCCAATAAATTCCAGGCTGAGGCAGCAGACTACCCAAAAGCCCTTTCACCAATTTCCGTACGAACTTTTAGGATGTAGAGCTTTAAAAAAAGTCCTGGGAGCACAGTTAACACTGTTCAGCACTTTTCTGTGTGATAAAAAAACAAAGATAGTGTGGGAGCAGGCCAAGAGTTGCCTTATAAATGAAGGTATACCAATATATTTGCATAACAGGATACCAGAGATGGCCAACCAACCCAAGAGCACAACTAACAATGATGTCACAAAACCAATAATCAGACGTTTTTATGCTCTGGATGATTTGCCGCTCAACAGCAAAGCAATGGAGGGGAAAATAGAAGTGTAAATATTTAACTAAACTTGTTGCAACACTCAAGTGATGCTGTTTAAAATCAGCTCAGCTATCTCTCTTGACCATAGACTGTATATAGAATGAACAGCGTCTGCCTACTCGCTGGGTGAAGCCACTGCGAGAACAGCACCCTCTGGTGATGGGCTGCAGTATAGGTCTCCAGCAATCCCTATGGAGCTGTGGACAAACTTTAGAAATTAATTACACAGAATATCAATTTTTCTCCCCCCTGCTTGTGATGTTGACATGTAGTTACAGTAAGACTGGTTTGTGCTCAAGTCCTCTTTTTTCTGATAAGCTCAATTTTTAAACGTTATTAGGAGGTTCATGTTTTCTATGATTGACACCTGATACAGCCTATTGACGTTCAGGGATTGCGTAGCTCACCCGGGGGATACGCTGTTTGAGCCGAGCGTCATCACAGCAACTCTTGGCGACTCTCCCGCCGAATGCGTACAACGCTACTGCGCAATGCTGGTTTCAGGAAATTAAGAAAAATCGTGGAAATACCGAGAGCTTCTTGGTTTCAAATCTGTATACTGGCAGGAGGCGGAACCAAGTTGTCCATAATATATACAGTCTATGCTCTTGACACAAGAAAGCATTATCCCAGTCCTACCCTTACCCTGTTAGCCAATCCAACTGTGTTACCTATAAATCATCAGCCCCACACTGTTAATGCATTATTATGGACATTAAAATACATCAGCATCAATTTCCTCCTCTTCTTATTCTTATGTCCATAATCTGTTCAGCAGGTGAATTTATGGCTTTAACTTCCAGCTCAGCTCCCTCTTCATCACAAATATCTGATACAAATCCCACATTCATACTTCTGTTAATATTACCAAATTAACATCTTAGACACCAGGCAGATTCAAAATTTTAAAGAGGACAAAACTTGATGCAACAATATGCTGTCTAAAAAGAGATTTTTTCTACTTTGGCTTGCAGTATGTTACTGCGACTTGAGTGCTTTTGCCCTGCATGTGTGAGGTATTTCCTCATACCTCATCCAAACTCATCTAAACTTTTACCCCATGATCAAGCCCTTTGAGCGTGGCCTGCTGTATTCTGAGTTAAGCTGCCTCCACTAAAGATGTCAGATTTAGAGTGCTGGTCAATGTCAACTCCTCCTGAATCTGTGAATAATAATTTATATGTCAAATAAACTCTGGATTGGGCCTTTAATCCTGTGCATCTGCCTGGGAGGGTCTCCTGCAGAGAAGCTAAATGAAGTCCAGGATCAAAGACCTGGCTGCAGCTCAGAGGCACCAGAGGAGGTTAGACCTTCAGTATCCTCCTTTCTCCTCTCCTCTCCTCTCCTCTCCTCTCCTCTCCTCTCGCAGCTGCAGAAGTATCACCATGGGTCTCAACTTTCTCCCCCTAACTCTGTTGTGATCTCTCCATCTTTAATCTGCCCTACTCCATACTGATCTGTTCTGAGATGCCTCCCTGCCTCCCTCCTTCTGTCTCCCTCTTTTTCTCTCCTGACATCCAGTTCAAAGGAGAGGCCTCCCACCAAGAACCCCCATCACCTCTACCATCCATTTCTCTGCAGCTCCTCCTCAGTAGGGGGTGCTTAGCTTTTCCCTCTGACACACTCAGTTTCTTTTTTCTCCCTCCGTCTCTCACTCCCTTTTTTCTTTCACACTAACTTTCTCTGGCTGTCTGTTGGCTCCTCCTCTGTCACTTTTACTGTTCAGATTTGATCTCTGCTTCAGCAAAGACAGAGAGAAGTTGTTTCTCTGCAGCGTAATTGAAAACTATTCATAAATCACATCAACAAATATTATTTGAATACAACTTAATACATAAAACCACATAATACACTTTATATTGCTACCAACCTTTTAGAGACTCCTAGAGAGGGCTAATGCTACAATATCCAGCTGCATTCATGGAGTATGTTATTTTTTTTTTTTTTGTTATGTGTCTTGGGATTACACTTGTGAATTGGCATTATACAAATGAAGATTGATCAATTGAGATTGATTAAGTACCCAACTCTCATCTAATGCGTCATGGGGATCTTCAGGTCTAGAGGTTCTTTTTTGCAGATCAGTCTAGTGTTGTGTCGTTCACGAACGATTTGTTCAAAAGAACAGAATCTTTCAAGTGAACGTACTGAACCGAATCACTTCCTCGAGTGATTTGTTAGTTTCTCACTTCAGTTGAGCTGAAGTGAGAAACAGCATTGCCAGGGCAGCAGCCAGCGAACAAGGGACCACATGCACCAACGCCTGAATCACTTGGTGAACGAATCACGCATTGAACGACACTCTCTGGAATCATTTTTGTAGAAAAAACGACTTTTTTTTTCACTGCTAAATTGCCACCACAACAACTTGCATACAACAGGGCACAGCATGTAACAAGTAGTGAATTAAACCCGCAGCATCCTATCATTGCAGCGGTTTGCGAGGGAACGGTGCATGTTCAGTGTGAAAGGTTCAGTGAACGAATCACTCACTGACCCTAATTTACCGAGCAGACCTGATAAATAGCATACCATAGGACAGTACACTTAAGACATCATGACTTATAAACAAGGTCATTTTTACAAACCTGTTTGCCAAAGCAACACAGCCAAACACTCTCGTCTCCCGGTCCCAGAAGCTATGAATTGAACTGAATCCTGAACCGTTCAGCTGTGTATCAGGTCAGGAGGTCAGAGTCGCAGGCTTCTCCCACCAAGCGCTAAATGATTCGGTGATTTGGTGATCAAATCTTTTGAACAAATCTTTTTAGTGAACTGACTCTAGTGATTCAGTACATCTAAAAGAACTGTCGTGCCCATCACTAGATCAGTCTTCAATCGGCAGGTGCTTTCAAGAGAGGAGAAAACACTCACATGTAAAGCTCACTATCCATCACTTAAATGCAAGTTTCCCTAAAGAAACATTTTCCATCTGAGAATTTTTGGGAGCACTGTTAACATAATTCATTTCAATAATAACTCTATCAGTTTTCAGTTTTTGTATCTGAAAAATCATAAATGTGTATCACACAATTTTTAAGAACATAACCAATATTGGGTTTTGGTACAGCATTGCTGCGTCTTTTGTAACATCCCTTTTGCTTCATATCGGCTGATTTCCTGTAGACAATCTAGAAAAAGACTGATTAATGGCCTTTACATCAGCATCAATATCACTATCATCTCGAAATGAAAACACATTTTCCCATCATCAATAACTCTGCCACTGAGCCACAGCCGCCCCTTAATATGAATTGTGTTATGATGTATAGAAAGTTGCAGTTTGATATCATTTCTAACATAAATATCAGACATGTTCTGAAATCTTTAGCATAACCCAATATATTACCATTGCTGGCCAAGATAACGTGTATATCAGATATTAATGTGCATGGAATAATGGATTCATATATG